TGTTTATTATTTATTTTTTGTTTGATACAGGGTTCTGCTATGCATCTTGGATTTGTACTGATCCTTCTGTCTCAGCCTTCCCTGTGCTGGGATTACAGGTATGCTCCATCATACCCCGTCTCTGTGGCCGGGAGACCAGTTCAGTGTGCCCAGGAGCATGCGCTGGCACAGCATATGATGCCAGGGATTGAACCCTGGCCCTTGTGCTTGCCAGGCAGGCACTTAGACTGCAGAGCTATCTCCACACTTGGCCCACTTGGAAGTTTCTAAGCCAAGGCTGGATCAGCAGCAAACAGTGAGTTACACAAGGAAACGAAGCAGCCTCTGTGAGCACTGGGTCAGAGTAGGCCTAAAGATCCAACCCAGTCTAGTTCTGTTTCTCTTATAGAGCTAAACAACATATCTGTGTCACAGCCAGACTCACATGCCACCTAAAAACCTCTGCCTGAATATAGATGTCTTCTTCAAACAACCAGGCTATATGGATAATCATTGATATTACAGGGGATTTATGACCATTAGTTATGAGCAACACTGAAAATATGTTTTGGAGGTAATGTCTAATTGCAAGAATGCACCTCTCATATAAATAAGTATACAACAAAATCCTTAGCCAGGCATGGTGGTGCACACATGTAACCCTAGCATTTGGGAGGCTGAGGCAGGATGATTCTTCTGAGTTTGAGGCCAGCCTGGGCTACATAATGAGTTCAAGGCCAGCCTGAACTACATAGCAAGACTCTGTCGTAAAAAACCAAAACCATAATTAATTAATTAGAACATTAAGGGGCCAGCCAAATAGTTCAGAGGATTAAAGCATCTGCACGCAGGCACAGGGGCCAGGGGTGTGATCTCCGGGCCTGCCATGTTGGGCCCTGCCCCTAGAGCACGCTGAGATGGCAACTGAGCAATTGAGCCTGGGTGTGGTGGTGTGTACCTGTAATCCCATCTCTTGGGAGGCTGTAAACAGGCAGATCACTATAAGCCTGATCTAGTAGTGGGACCCTGAACACCCTGTAGACCCTTCCCTAAAAGATACAAAATAAATAAATAAATAATAAAAAATAAAAAGAAGAAAATTAACTTTATTCTTTCTCTTTAAGGTAAGTTAATTACAGAATTTTTTTTTGGAGAAACTCAAATGCTAAAGGAGAAAAACTCATTGTGTTGTTGGCAAGAGACATCATCCAGACATCTGGGTAGATTTCCTTCTGGTCCTTTTCAACCTTAAGTATTTTGTTGTATGCATTTGTGACCAATTAACTGTGCATTTTGTGTCTCGTTTCTGAAGTACAATTTCCTCCGTTCTCTTTTTTATTTTTATTTTTTGGCAGAACTGGGGATTGAACTCAGGCCCTTGTGCTTGCCAGGCAAGCGCTTATTCTACCGAGTTATCTCCCCGGCCCCTACTTCCTCTGTTCTTATGAACTACATAACAATCCATTGGGTGGATCACGACTGTGTATGCCAAGCATATTCTTGCCCAGGCTAGTGATGATTTTATAGTGAGTTCTGTCCCTTGCACAATGCAGTGTGATTAATACTACAGTGTAGACACAGTACTTTTGGGAAATTGTCTTCCAGGCTGAATTCATAGCTACTAAGTATGAAAAAGCTGATGACTCTACAACCTTCCTTGTGAAGTCTTTGCAACAGGCAGTGTTCTGTCTGCATGGCTGTGGTACACTGGCCAAAATTCTAAACCACATTCGTTTTTAAGCAGGGATGTCACTTCATACTCTTTGGTTGGTGGTTTTTTTTTTTTTTTTTTTTTAATTGGGAATCAAACTCAGGACCTCGAGCTTCCCAGGCAAGTTCTGTGCCACTGGGCTACAGTCCCGGCCTGGAGTTGCTATTTCTTCTTGGCAACACCATTTGGTCTAACCGAATGGAGGACAGAAGCCACTGAACGGCCCCGTTTACTGCAGACAAGGGTTCCCACTCATGCCAACGCACAGTGACCCTGCGTGAGATGCATCAATTCTGTTCCACTGGGGAGAGTATAGGTTCCTCAAGTACCACTCAGCTCAGACCCACAGGACACCTCCAAGACCAGCTTATCAGGACTTGGAGTTTTCCTCTGGATGTGATTGAGTTTTCAGCTCAGTTCTGCAGGAAACCATTACCTTGTGCATCTTTCTGTGGGCAGGTGTGTTTCCCCGCCCCCCCCCAGGGTCCCACTATGAAGCTCAGACTGGCCTTGAACTCACTTTGTAGCTCTGGCTGCCCTTACTTTTCAGTGATTCTCCTGCCTCAGGCTCCCAACGGCTGGGATTACAGGTGTGCGCCACCAGGCCTGGCCTTGCAAATTTTTGTTTTTGTTTTTTGGTGGTGCTAAGAATCAGACTTAAGGCCTTGTACATGCAAGGCAAGAGCTCTTCTGCCAAGCCAGAGCCCCAACCCTGCAGCTTTTGCTAGAAGCTCACATAAAAGTGTACAATAGCACGTGGATGAGGGAATGGGATTCTACAGTGTCCTCCGGGATCATATGTATTCAGGGACAAAGGCCCACTAGGAAGGAGCTGGGACAAATCTATGTATGATTTACACATTTAACCAACGGTTGCTTAATTAATGACCAAGATGCTTTGCAAAACACCTTTCTTCCACAGTTAAGAATGAGTGAAAATATATGACCTTGAGAGTATTTTTTTTTTCTGTATTTTAGGGAAGGGTCTACAGGGTGCTCAGGGTCTCACTACTAGATCAGACTGGTAGTGATTTTCCTGTTTGCAGCCTCCCAAGAGCTGGGATTACAGGTATGCGCCACCACACCGCATCTCAATTGCCACTTCAGCCTACCCCAGGGGTGGGTCCAGCACGCCAGGCCTGGGGGTTGAGCCAGCTTGAAGGTGCTTTAATCTGCTGAGCTACTTGGCTGGCCGGATCTTGAGTTTTAAGGAAACAGTATTTTAGTGGTCTTTCCCAAGCCAAGGATCTATTTATTCATCCATTAACCCAACAAATTGTGCAGCTTCACCCTGAGCTATACCCAAATATATATATATCTATATATCTATATATCTATATATATATATATATTTTTTTTAATTTTAAGAGAGATCCTTGTGAAGTCATTAAATGGCCCGAGATGGACTCAGACTCATGAACCCCCTGTCACGGCTTTCCAGAGTGCTGGGGTTACAGGCCTGCACCACAAGGCCCAGTGCATCAGACGGTTTTAATGGCTGAGGAGAGAAAGAGAATGAATGTGAGCGCTCTAGCGGAGCACCACTGTGCTGTGGCCAGAGCCCAGACGGGACCTCCAAGTCCAGGCTGGAAAGCTCACCGGACGGCCATAGCAAGGCTGTACAGGCAGGGAGGCACGGCCTGCAGTTCCAAGGGGGGCGCACCCAGCTGCCAAAGGCAAGCCGACAGTCACCGCGCAGGAGACTGGGCAGGCTGAGAAGGAAGCCAGGACAGGGAGGGAGACACCTACCTAACATGCACACTAGGGCTTGGGGGCAGGAGCCGGGAAAGGAGCCCCGGAAAGGCAGCAAGGTTGGGGGAGACCGATGAAGCGTCAGAACAATATGACTACCACTGTTCGTTGCGAAAGAATTTTCTAAGTTGTTTTACAAAAGTCCTGGTTCAAGGCATTTGGGGAGGTAACCGGGCAGTGTAAATGTCTTTCTCTTCTCGGCTCCTAACTGCCTATATCACGCCTCGGGGCCTCAAGGTCAGATTCTGGGTGTTTCTACGGATGTGAAATTCGTGAGCGGCCCTCGTCAGGAGCACTGCAGAGGGGCATCCGGCATACACGGTACGCAGCGGCTGTGGCATCAACGAAATCCTACCCCGGCTGACGCCTTAGTACATCCTAAACCCTTTTTTATTGAGACAGGGTCTTACTAAGTTGCTAAGCTACCCATACTGGACTGGAACTTTCGACCCTCCCGCTTCAGCCTCCCAGAGTGCTGGGATGTCAAACCCGTACCCCCTCCCAGCGGTTTGCACACGAAGGTGATCTAATTCACCCACATGGCACTGGCCCACTGATGACCTTGTCAGCTCCGTGAACTTTCACCTTGGCCAACTTGAGTCTGCACGGCTGTCCAGCGGCCCCGGGCTCACCCACAGCGTCACCTTCTTCAGCAGCAAGGGGGGCATCGCTCAGCAGGACGCTGGGCGCCGCGAGTCCCTGAGGGCAAGCACGTTCACTGGACACCCAGAGTCCCTCACAGCGCGCTGCGCAGCAGCACCGACCCCAAGCGGAGAGCTGACACCGCACGGGAACCGCGCGGCTGCACGAGGGAGGAGCGCGGTGGCCGCGCAGCGCCCGACCACGCCCCTTTCCTGCCGCGCACTGGCCCCGCCCCTCCCCCTCCGCCCCGCCGCGGCTCCGCCCTGAGTGACGTCACTGGCCAGGCCGGCCGGCGCCATTTTGAAAGTGGAGTCGCCTGCCGCTGCCGCCCGCCGCCGCCGCTGTCGTAGCCGCCGCCGCTGCCGCCAGTGAAGGAGCACGAGCAGGGACGCCCCAGAACTGAAGCCCACCATCCGCCGGCGAGCGTGCCCGCCCGCCCCTCCTCCCGTCGGCCGGACCCCGCCCCCGCCCCCCACAGGTGCCATCCGCCGCCATCCGCGCCCTCGACCCCCCCGTGCCCAGGTGAGGGGGGTGAGTTCGGGAAGCGGAGACCCCGACGAACCCAGCAGGGTCACCATTTGCAGCGCGACATGGCAGGTAAAGGAGAAATGGCCCTCGCCTACGGACCCGGTGCCGCTTCCTTCCTCCTCCCTCCATCACCCCCTAGCGATCGCCGGGCCGCGCGTGCTGC